ACTTCCCTGACAGAGGCTGTATACGCGTTGCCATGTGAGAGTTTTTCGAGAGGGAGGGCGAGCCCACTCCACTCTCAGCCAAACCAGGGCATTTGGGGCAATTATCACGATTTTCTCTGTTATTAGAACAATGTGAATTGAGCAAATTAAACATACACACATTTTCGTCAGGTGTAACGTGGTCCATGACTCACTGATTGGCAGTATGCAAAATATTTGAGAGTCATATTCATGAAAATCTGAAGAGAAACTGGTAACACAGTTTTTCTTCGTGATGTGTAAAATTTTATGAACAGTTCGCATTAATAAATGCACTCAGGTGAAAGTATACCTGTTTAGACCCAACCAAAACAAGTTTTTAAGTAAAGTTGGGTAGTATTTATGTTGCGCCGCTACCCAACTTTGTTTGAAAAATTTTCCGTCCTAATAGAAATATCGAGAAAACTCTTACAGGATGTATATACTTCAAAAGAGATTGACCAGTTGCAGTCTTTAACAACAACAACAACAACGGAAAAGTTCAAAAATTTACAAATGAAATGGGAAAATTTCCTTTTAAAATAATATAAATTTATTAATGTAGCGAATTCATTTCTGTTCGTTTTTTATTAGGTTTGACCTATTCACAACGTTCAGCTTTTGTGCATTGATGAATAGCACCACTATTCGGTTCACAGATGTTATATTTTTCCCTAAAATATTCATCTAATTATCTTATAAATGATTGACAACTATGAGCAATCTTTTCAGCCTTCTGCTGTTCCATTAACTTTCAATAACCTAATTTTGTTATCTTTCTTTCCAGCCAATATCTGCATGATAAGTTAATAACAGTATGCGTTTTTCTCTTTATTTTGTAATTTCTAGATTATGAAGTTAGAAAGTAGCTTTTATTCTTAAGGGGCAGGTCATACAAAATGTTAATGAAACAAGTTTTGTCGCTTTTCAATACATAACAACTTTGCGCTTAAGTTGTTATCAAAGAGGTTGGACGTCAATAAGTCGTTTGAAATAGTAATAAGCTAATCTGGATTTAATTAGGTATTTTTCAGTGAACTCAAATGACGGATATAATATTTAGATCTGACAACAGATGGACTAAGATATAATGGAATAAAAAGGCGATGTCAATCCAGATCACATTTATTTTATATTTCATTATGGGTGTCGTCTGGCTTGACAGGTGTGAGTTCTCAGTACAATATTTATACACCCTATATTATTTGATTTGAACTATATTTAGTGAGTTTGTGCAAACAATTTATATTTTTTCCCATGTTTGCTATTATTATATTTAAAAATTGGCATATAAATGAGTAGGTTCTGGTTTGATGGCGACAATGTTGATGACTTATTTTGAGTATGTGTTTTTGAACAGTCAATACATCTTCATTTGAACCAATCTTCTGTGTTTGTAATCGGCCTCGTGGGGATTACAACGGTTCCTGGTTTCTAACGAGTAAGACGGCGGACACAACAGAGCTGACAAGAAAATAATAAATAAATAAATAAGATTGTTAAGAAAATCACAACTTCTATCACTTAATTATTAGTTTAATAGCGTTATGCACACTTTTTTATTAAGTTACTAATCGAATAGTGGTTAGGTTTATCAAAAAAGTTAGAATTTTCTGAATTATTAGGGGTAATGTTTGTTATAAACTGGAATCATTGGAGGGTTAACTGAAAAACAGATAGTGATGACTCGATTTGTGATTCTAAATCAAGATTATTCAGCATTACCTTCTCAAGGTAACATAAGTGATCGCAAACAGAACCTTCATATCTCACTGTTAAGATGATACCATTGAGCTATTGAATCGTAATTTAATGGTCTGAAGCTTAAACTTTACTTCATTTGGGATTTAACAGGATCATCGTTCAATTTCATCGATAGTTCATCTCCGAACAAATGATTTTTTCAATCCTATGGGAAGCCCCAAACTTAAATGAAATAACTTTTTAATAATTTCATATTTTCAGTGGTTCAACTAATGGTGAACATTAGAATGTTTGATGTCATAACGGGATTATTTCTCGTATTACCATTCTAACAGACGTATTAATGGCCTTGCACTTTATTCCTAATTATTGTTAAAATATGTCTGAAATATTGTTCGTCTGTGACAGTCGTTAAGTTTTATGTTACTGATCACTCCCAAAAAGTTATAATCTAAATATATTCGTTCATTGATCACTACTCTTAGTGTTACTTTACAAAATAAAAGTAATGGAAGGTTGTGAGCTGACAGATATTCTGTTGTATAATATTCTTATTACCAGCAAAGCTGATTTTAACAAAGAACATAATAATCCACAAAATTGATTGAAAAACATCAGGCAATAGTGAAAATTGTTAGGTATATCATATTTTTATTACATGATATAATGATTTATTCCACAAATCACTTCATTCTTTTGAATGAACTAGTCAGTATTTATCGTATATGTGCTCGATCGAGCCAGAATTAATCAATTATATATTATCCATTACTAAAATATAATTAAAGAATAACAGATCTGAATATTTGAATTTACGAAAAGCATAATTATTTATTTCTAAGAATATATATTTGTCAACTAAGTAAAGTGAAGTGAAGATTTACTGAAAAATGTTAAATCAAATTAGGAGAAACTAATCACGTCAAAGAAATATATGATTGGGGATGAAAATTGACAAGTACAAAACCTCATTGTAAAGCTACGTATAATATTACCTTTAAACATGCAACACAAACAATTATAACATTAAATGAACAGTTAATTTAACAGTAAACTGTATACAGATGTCAAGTAAGATGCATTGTATAATGAAAATATTTATTAATTAGGCAATACATAAAAACAATAAATCCAGTTCCATGTGGACAATGTTAGGTAGATCAGTATACTTAATAAATCTATCAAGGATGTCAAATAGTAATGATCATATCCTTTTATACTACTGGTCAGTGAAAAATCAGTATCATATTGTGACGCCAAATTTTCATGATAATCCGTAGGAGGATAGTAAATTAGTTGTTGTCGATATTGACGACGACAATTATTACGATCACAAAGCTTACAGAAGATTGATTTTTTAATCGAAGACTCTTCGCAAAGCTTGATCTTCTGCTTTTTTGTTGAATATTCCTTTTTAAAAGGTCTCACGAAGCATACTAGACGACTGTTCCATTGAGCAAAATGATTATTCACAACAGCAACGATAGTCGCCAAACCCATGAAACCTAGCTGATTCAATATATAAATTCCTGAGTTTATTACACAATGAGAAAAGAGAAAGAAAAAAATTAGTGAACTTTTGAATAAAAGTGATATCATTGTTCAGGAACCATGAAAAATGTCCAGTCATCCAATATGACTGTCAAATAATTTTTATACCAAAAACCAATTAAAGGTATTAATGTTGTTATAATATGAGAATCCTTAGTGATCCCCTCCCAGGAATCCACACAAGATGTGATGTATATGGAAAAATATAAAGTTTAATTGGCAAACAAAGTTTTTAACAAGTTACAAGTTAGAAAAGTTTAGTTGTGATTGTTTAGGCCCCTGGATTACCTCGTATGGTGAAACCAGCAGGGGAATACTGACTATGGGATAAGGAACCCCTAACAAGATTTAGCCCGGTTTTAATTCTGATGGATATATGCGTATTTAGTAGATTTCCTTTTCTGCTGGTTAAATGAATGGTTCAAATTTCAGTACATTTTGCAAATCTCATTTAAAATTATTGTCTAATTAATTAAAAGACAACTTTTCTTGGTATATTGTGTTAGTGATGAACAGATTGGATTCCTGATAGATTTCTTTTAGAGTTATGAGATGAGTAAAAATTTTATTTAAGTAAAATTGCTGATTTTGAAAAACATATACATATACTCACAGGTAACTAACCTCATGAATGATTCCCGAGGTTCTAATGGGAGCTCTGGACTGATGAACTTTAACCTTGTCCGGAGTGTAACAGGTATAACCAATCTCAATGAATGACGGCTGTGAAACACCATAAACTCATTGAAGTTGAAAATGTGTAAAGGCGAATTTGAATATAGGGATTTGAAGATAACGTGCTCGCCGAGAGATCTGAAGCTCTCAGTTCAATATCTGACAGGGTCTTGGCTGAACACTTAAAGTCACATTCTTCCCACATTTGAATATAAATTGTTCTCATATATGATGTTAATGTGATTTTAAGACAGAATTGGAGTGCTCAACTGGATAATAAATAATATTCTCCCATTTGCAACCAATTCCGGGATTATTTTGGGAACCTCGAGTTTATCGGGGTATTTAACTTAATCTGTTTCAAAATTACCCTCTATCAGTTCTTTAACCGGAATACATACTTGGATTTAGTATGATATTAGAGTAGCCTGAAATCAAGCCTAGATTTCTTATCATTAGAAAGGTATTCAATAATCCAGCATTAACTGAATGGATTTGATGATTATGTAATCTCTACCATTTATCAAATATAAATTGTCTAACAAAAATTAAATTCAATCACATTTTTCGATAAATTTTCAAGAACAGTTAAAACCGTATTTCACATACTCACTTTATTTAGATGCGTTTGGTTGTATTGCCAATAAGTCTTAGTTAAGTAGCAGAGGAAAATAATACTAAATTTCGTAATCTCTTGTTGATTAGCTAATTTCAGGCAACTTTTGAGGAGCAATCATAATTAAATATTCTATTCACTGTCGATCGGCGTGCCTTGTGTGAATTATGTACAGGTGGTTTATCAGTGCTTTTAGAGATAACTGGTTTAAGATCGAAAAGTTGGAAACAATACTGTATTAATAATTGACCTGTCCGTCGAAATCCATTTTAGGAATGTTTAATTGAAATAACAGTGGTTCTTAGACAGCACTTTTAGGAATTTAATTAGGAACAAAGCTATCATAGTTGAAAACATTATCTCTGGATATACTATTGATCCATTAGTAAAGGTTCAAGGGCTTAAACTGGAAATTTACTTACTTCAATATCAGATGGCAACATATTTTTTCCTGTTAGTCTATATCGTTTGTACCTAAATTGCCTAGAATAAAATAATATTACTGGTAAATTATGATTGACAGTGATACTAAAGTTGAAATGTCACCTAATGTCTCTCCAGTGACAGCCAAGCTTAGACGCTCCTTTAAAAGCAACCCCTTTGATTCCAACTTTTATAAAACCAAGGGTGATTCAAAATTAAAACATACTACCGAAAGAAACGTATGTCGATTATTGTTCGCATATGGATTTAATAGGTATTTTGAAGCAACTGATTTAAATAGCCAACTTCATTTATGGTGATTCTTGGCATTCAACAACTAGATTTCTTTTTTTTATTAAATAATCCTATTTCAGATTTCAATGGATATTTTCACTGTGGAACTGAATATCGTAATCATCTAAATATTAGAATAGATAATGACTTATTGTACTTATAGACCATGCACAAAAATTGACTTTCCATTGGACTGAATCATAACATCTGTATATGGAAATTGTAAAAAATTGTTAAAAATTGTAATGTATCAAATGTTCAACGCGAAAAGTAATGAAACTAAGTAACTGATTTATATCTAGTATCTACTCACCTAAAAGTGGTATCTGGCTCACAGATCGAGGTGTGTTTGATGACACAGTAATAACATATACAGTTGCACCAAAGAATAATGATAATGCAGTAGCTAACCGATCACTTGGATAACTCAATGTAAATATTGAACATGTTAACGTTGAAATCAATGTGAATGGTGCGACAACAAATGTAACAAAGTACAAAGGTTCATGTTTCAGTTTAATAGATATGACCAAATATTGATATTTTGAGTTAGTTTGCCTCAAGTATACAGAAGAATGATAACCAATTTCCTCAATTATCCATTCACTATGATTAGCGTTGGGCATAAAACTGTTATCAATACTTAAATGATCGATTTTTAGATTGATTTCTAATTGTTTGATTGTACTATATAGTGTAGTCAAAACCAGATAGCATTTTTGTCTGTCAAATGGTAATTTAGTCATATCAAGAGGGCAAGATAGTTCTAAAACTGAACCATGTAACCATGTTACGTAACCATCGGACTCAACCATCAAACGCGATGCATTATTGCCCGAAGCCAAATCAAACAGCCCGTTCTTTTTACGGTTTCCAAATGCTAAATCAGGTCTCCATAATTGTTTACTCTTAAAAATCAGTATATTTTGTAAATCGCCAAAATCTCGTGGTTTCCACTTCAGACGATAATCCATCCACCTCTAAAGTAAAAAGAAAACCATTCGTAACGTGGTAAACAGATTAAAACCGTTTTATATAAACTGTTTAAATAAATAAACTACTAATAGAAGATATATAATCCAAACTACATGGAGGAGATCAAACAACGTTTTCCTAATTCCATATGGTAACTAAACGCATTTGCCAGAAACCATAGTGACTAACTTCTGTGGACTTGTATTATGTAAGTGTATTGTGAAAATTCCGTTATCAATAAATTATCTTGGAAGATCTACTCATGAAATTCGTCATTAGCTAGCGTTGAGAAGAAATCCATTTTGAGATCAGTGTGCTATTTTTAATTCAATAGAACACTTCCTTGTGTTAATTCGTTTTGTACATCTCGTTCCTTAATTCAGTTTGTCGTTTCGGTTTTGTCAATCCAGTGTGCATTGTGCTAACCAATAATCACTTGATGTAAATTTGTCCATAAATCAATGTACATCAAGTCTAGGGAAGTCTTCTAGTTATAGATAAAAAATATATCTTTATCTTCTACCAGTGTTTTCTTTCCTTTTGTTCAAGTCATACCAAGTTTCACTTCCACTTACAACGAAAATTTCTATCTTTCAAGTTCAAGTTCAATTTTTAGCGCTTAAATTTTGTACAAGACATTATTTTAACTTGTCAGAAACACATGACCAAAATTATTAGAATTAAGTCTCAGAAATCTGATACAGTAATCATCATTCAAACTTTTAAAACATTAAAATATATGCAGTATATTTTTATGTGCTTATACATTTCAAATAATTTACAATATTGTCCAGTGTATTTAATGTTTCCTCGTTGAAGACAGTCAGTTGTAATAATATATTTGCCCATAAATATTGAAAAAAAGATCAAAGACAAGTTCACGTCTTCCGTATTGGATCCTGTTTCACTTATCATACATTATATTTTGAACTGATAGACTACCCTAGGCATTAAGGAACATCAAATAGAAATAATAAGAATCCTAGTTTGTAGCGAACAGAAAAATACCACGTTTGAAGGAAGCAACACAGATCTTCTGTTAAAATGTGAACGTTTAGGGCTTCTTTTTAAAACAGATGGTGCATTGTACTTTAAGATAATAATAGTGTTCTCATCAGGAATAAGGTACAGCAAAACATGGTATATGTAACACTGTACGGCTTGCAGTTATACAAATTTAATTTCACCTACCGTAAATAGTATAGTAAACTATAATACTTCCGTGAGAGATACAGATGAAAAAAAACTACTGTTTACAAGGTGATGAAGGAGTCTATAATAGTGGGTCATAAAATACTTGAATCTGTTTCAAAACTTTAGATTATAAGATTTTTTTCTCCTTGACAGCGGTAACTTTTTCTACTTGTGTTTAAAGTAAATTTCTATCTTTGTATGGAATTAAGTGAATAAAATCTACAGATTTCCTGTTCGTATTAGTGTTTTAGTCTGGTATTACATTTCAAATCTGATAAAATGAACAGTGTAAAATATTATGAACATTAACGACCCATAGAAAAACTTTCTTGATAATCTGATTTTACATTTATATGTTGATTAGAGAAAGATGAAAAATAAATTTGAGTTATTTCTAATTCGAATGAATTTTAGTATTAGTGATTTTTATGTTCAACATTTTGAATAAAGTATTCATTTCTGAAGGAAAAATCTTTCTATCTACTTATCATGTCTTTTAATATACATTTATTGTAGTGGTATTGTGAGGGATCACCAGCAATTACGTTAGTCAAATTAATTTAGACGACTAGTCACACATTTCCTCAGTATTACAAAGGTTTTATGGTTATCATCACAGGCTTATTTAAATTTATCCACCATTGAGAATCTAGAAACACTGGAAAGTTGTTTGGCCCTCACACGGGGCTCGTCAGCAGCGCTAACGGGTTTTTGTTCAGTGCTTCCTGGTTTCAAAATGTAGTCTTACTAAGATGTAAACTACGGAAATTCAACAATCTACACGAGCCCACTATGATAGTAAAAACAACAACAATAATAATAAACAGAATAATAATATAATTACGGTATTTTAAGCCAGAGACTGAAGTTCGAAGTTAAGATTTCTAATGCCTTATTATTCTGAAAGTGAATGGGATTGAGATTCAGCATATCTGACTTGAATTTAATCACAGTGCTGGTCGAATCAGATGTGTTTATTGCCATTGTAAATAAATAAGTGTTGTGATTATAAATATCCTTCAAGTTTCAACTTCACTAATATTTAGAGATATACAAACCATTGAAGTTTAACTGACAGGTTTAAGAGTTATATGATCATTAAGGTCATATCATATGTTTTATTCAGAAAGTAGTTAGGGATTTACACGGTTGAGCAACTAAAAACAATGTTTAAATAACCATTTTCAAGAGTAATTCAACTGATTGCATTAATTTAGTCTAGTTGTCTTTGAATTAACTAATTTCTTCAAGTAATTTAGCTGAATTTTACAACTTCTCAAAATGTGTTTCTTTGTTCATGGATGTATACACTTCTTCTACCTCGTAAGTCAAAATAATATTTATAGGAAAATATTTGTCTGGAAATAAATACGAAGATATCGATAGAAATATATCATTATATTACTAACATGAAGCTATATACACTTAAAATGTATTTCCATATTAAGTACAATTATTCATTATGGTATTACTAGTCTAGCTAATGTTGTTGATTCAATTTAAACCTATATGAATGAACAAATATGGAGGAACGAATAGAGGAGAAAAAAGGAACAAAATATTGACAGTACCATCCATCACATTTAAAATTAGTAATTGAGGTAATTCTGTTGTGTTCAAGCATCAATCAATCAGTGATTTATAAAATATTGTGCAAAACTTACTTCAAATTAAGTAAATATTACGAAAGAAAAATGAAAATAATGAATACACTGATATGCATCGTGCATTTGTATACAACACATAAGATAAAGAATATATATGTATATACAAAGATTAACGTACTATTGTAAACCATCCAGATATTATAAGTGTTTCATCTGAATGCGACTGAAAGGAGTGGGAGAGAGAAAAAAAAATGTATAGTCGATAAGTTTTTTGTCATTAGCGAAAGATAGAAATTAAAATTACTGTCATAAATAAAATTGCTATAAATGAATATCTATTATCTTTCAGGTGACTTAATTGGTTTCATATCATGAGTGAGATAGATGATAGAAGGGCAAGTAACTGTACCTTAAATGACATATGTTCTTTTGGAGTTTTTGCTTTTACTCATCGATCATAGTGAACAGATGAATTTTATTATCAAACTAGATGTAAGTGAATGAAAAATTACTGTTCATCGTTAAATAATATCATACTAGATAACTAGTTGTTAATATAATTTTTGAACTACTCTACGAATTCAAATTATTCTAACAGTCTTTACGACAAAGATATTAAGGGCTAAAAGCTTCCAACACCACATTTTTCATATGTGGGTCTTGTAATTTATTGTCATTCTGTATCTTTCTGTTCTATAAACTCGATTATTTTCTTTACTTGTAGTGAAAACAATGAGTGATGACAATTGAAGATAAATTAATTAATACCATGCAAACTAGGTGGCTAAATAATGGACTACCGTTGATTAAAGACTCAATTTTTTGTTAAATTAACAGTTTTAGTTCGAAATAATTATCTCAAAGGTCAGAAAGAAAAGAGGAATTGGGGTTACTACGTATATTGGATCCATGAAATGTCAGAAAGTTCCTAAAATCGAAGAAGTTGAACTCAGAAATATTAAATCAACTCACGGATGATAATAATCTCGCTACACTATATGGAATTCCTGCGTTTAACATTTTGTTAAGATTTCAGACCAACAAAATAAAACGAACTAGCTCCTTACTTCTTCTTTTCTAATTAGTTGTGGTCTGTGACGACAATCATGTGAATAATAAATTAACCTCTACCAGAACTGTTAGGAATTAGTTATTACTGTTACTTCATGACTAAAATTAGTTTTTGGATTATTGTGGGAACGACTGAAATGAATTTATTTATAACTAAGCATTTCAAGTAGCGTATTTCAATGACAATAAAGTTCGCGGACACGCTTCAAACAAAGAGGCATAAATATCCATTCTACTTACTATAAAAAAAGAAGTATCACTTGAATATTTTCATTAATTTCAGAAATGTAGTTTATTGAATGCTATTCGAAATAACAGTATTTAGGCTATGAACTCAAGATACAAAGACCAATTATCTGTAGTCCCTTAATAGTATTTAAAATTGTTTGGTTTCAAAGTCATGATGTTACACCTTAGTTAATATTGGGATAACAACAGTTTGATCAAATTTATTTACACAAAGTTTTAATTAAACTGTGCGAATGATAATTTGCAAAATAATCTTCAAATATATGTCTGATAAAAATCATGTGTATGATTTGTTGTCAAAATAAATATCTTCTAAAGTTGATTTATTCGGCCAAAAAGGAGCAAATTTTTTAAGTCACTGTTTTGAAGACTTTATGTTGAATATTTAAGCATGAGTCCGTCACCTTAATCCCACATACTTAATGACTGGTTCTTTTCAATTAGAGTGAGCAGCATACGTTTTGGCCAATCTTCCAAAAACTCACGAATCTTGGGATGGAAATAGTGAAAAATTGTGGTTTTAAACGGAATCTAGACAATTTTATTGTTGTTCGTTAATAAGATTGACTAAAGGCTTTGTAACATAAATCATACTGAATTTAGCGATTATTACTTCTGTTTGATAGATTGATATTTTAGGCCCCTGAATTATCATTGATTACATATGATAACTGGAATGAAATGTGATTCCCATTCCATTCGCGATAAAATGTAGATTTATTTTAAAAAATGCAAAATACACTTCATCATTTCAAGTCGTTGGGCTCTGAAACAGAAGCTTATCTTATTATCCCTTTTATTGGGCGGAGAACATCTGATCCCGCTCTTTGCCTGCCTGTTAATATGGAGATATTAAATTTAACAAAAATTAATAAACAAAACCATATGAGCTACTACAAACATATGCAGTAGATAGTCATAAACATAAGTAAACTTGTCATATTTCATTAAAACAAAACATTAAAATAAAACATACCAACTTTACTACTTGTATAAGATTATATGTTAGATTAACAAGAAGGGGCTTCTGACAAATATGAGGACATGCAGATGGTTGCAACCATAAATTAGGTTGATTGATTAAATGATTCGCTAGAATTTCTTCATAACTTTTACCAAAAACTGAGTCTAATCGAATTAAGTTCAATGAAAAAAAACAAGACAAAAATGGGTCACTGACATTACTTAGGATACAATGTTTTCAATGCTCTACAAACTATTGGTTCTCTACAGTAACAATAAAAAAGTCAAAAGAATTCAACATAAGATAATTTGAAACGTAATTTAAATTTTAAGCAACTAATAAAATATTGGCATCATTTGAATATCACAGATTGAAATCATAAGTCAATTGAAGCTAGACCACCATGGAAAACCTGGAAGCACTGGACGGCCGTTTCGTCCTAGTGTGGGACTCCTCAGCAGTGCGCATCCACGATCCCACAACTTCGTGGATTGAATGAAGTTAGAAATTAACACCATTGGATGTCGGCTCAGTGGTCTAGTGGTTAAGTGCTCGCGCGCGAAGCCAGTAGGTCCTGGGTTCGCACCCCGCGTGGTGCGGGATCGTGGATGCGCATTGCTGAGGAGTCCCACACTAGGACGAAACGGCCGTCCAATGCATCCAGGTTTTCCATGGTGGTCTAGCTTCAATTGACTCATGATTTTAATCTGTGAAATTTCTAAAATCTCCGCAAACCCCTTTTGGTTCATTTGAATATGTCTATATTTCTGTTGTGAAAACGGACGGTGGTTTTTAGTGGGCTATTTCGTTTTTCTTCCAAATTTGAAACATACATTGAGAACTAATCGAATGCGTTGTAATTAATAGATATTCTTTTGAAATCATCAATTAATAATCCACTTTGCATTATGAGATGATGCTTGATTTTTCACTGGATATGCAAGAAATTTTGGCATACATGTCTTCGTTGTACCAGATATGATGAAACATAACAGATAATATTATAAGGATTTAAATGGATTAACTATCTACTTCTAAATGGTATTTATGATGGATATCAGTAAAACAGTGTTTGAAGATAGAATATCAGTGACCAATAATTTCACTTTATATTTAAACTTTTTTGTTAACAATCACGTTCTGTCATGTGCTTATTTGAGAAGTGTAACCTTAGTTGAGTACTGAGTTTCAGTAGAACACAATGAGCAGAGGTATAACTGAACTCGTTATTGAATTAACTAATTTACGTCATTAGTGCAATATGCATTCAAAATATTTAAAATGTCTACAATAAACCAGGTCATGTAATAATCAAATCTAATCTAATACTTAATTCCTGCTGTCTTTTTTAAATATTTTGTATACGACATGTAGTATTCTCTTTTTATGATGGAGATATTTGGTGCTAACTACGAAAATTATACCAGACTAATATGAACTGAGGATATCCAACAACAACACTTTAACTGTCATAGTAAAGAGAGGTAGACAGGTTTTTAAAAAAACTTTTGTTGTCATTAGATAAACAGACGTTTTGGTGTACTTCATTCAAATACATGACCTGTTAATGATCTTTAAGCTTGAGGAGAGAAATATTCTTTTAAAACTTGAAGCGAAGTGAATTTTGTGTTGAGGGGATATATGGAATTCCGATCAATGGAAGAATCTTAAGAAGTAAAAATAAAAGCTTCACTTATACCATAACTGTGATTTATTTCGCCACTTGAATTGACTGAACTTCACGAATAAAAACGTCATAATTTTTTTAAAAGTTGGAGTAATTCATTCGTTGTTCGAAAGCTGGTAGAATTTACTTACCTACAAATCGTAATACGACAATGTTGGTTACTTGCATAAGTCTCAGTCTACATAATGTTTCCAATCATACAAAGAACTCTATGATCATGTTTTCAACACACAATCATTAAAGTAATATGGTTTTATCATGCTCCTGTTTGAAAATTTGTTTGTCCAAGATAAAAACATGAAGTCAGGCTGCAAATTTTTCTGGACTATATATGTTCAAAGTACATCAAAACACAATTATATGGACGAAGATTCTTTTCAATAATTTCTCATCAGGTTCTACCATTATATATCCAAATTAATAATCCATAAAAATTGACTAAGTTTAAGGAAAACTACATCATCTAAAATTATAACAACTGAATCAAGAATTGTTTGTCATGTAAAGTCAAATCAAGTCGTTATCAGTATGAGGTTGTGGAGATTGTTTTTTTATTGAGATCGTGAATCGATGAATGTCAGACCGATATTGAAAACCCGGAAGCACTAGATGGCCTTTTCGTCCTAGTATAGGACTCAGCAGTGAGCACCCACAATCCCGCACGTGGGATTCGAGACCACTGAGACGGTATACAACGTTGTGAATGCCTAACTTCAACCAATCCAGTGGAGCTAATCCGTGTCAGATGGAGACCGGTGTCTACCACAGGAAAATGATGGTCACGCGATTTCATGGATTGGTCAAAGTTAGACATTAAGACCGTTGGATACCGGCTCGGTAGTCCAGAGGTTGTGTTCGCACGCGAGACCGAAGGTCCTAGGTTCGAATCCCACGTACGGGATCGTGGATGCTCACTGCTGAGATTTCTCATACTAGGGCGAGGCGGCCGTCCAATGTTTCCAAGTTTTCAATGATGGTCTAAAATTCGTCGATTCATGATCCAAATAATTATGTTGAAGTGACTAATATGAAGTGTTAACGTGAATAAGCTTGGACGTTAACTGAAGTTGTGAGACCAATAATCAGAATAAATATGTTCAACATAGGGTGAGAGAGAGAATAATGTAATTACAAACCAGAGGACGTGTAATTAATAAATAAGATTTGATGGTGACTAAATTTCTCAAAAAGGTTGGTACGTGTTACAATAATAATGTGTGAATAAGATTATGACATAAAGATAAACATTAATTAAATTACGTCACCATATCATAAAATTGATTATTAGCTAATTAGGCCTGGAGTTGTCAGTAATATCCCTTAAGATTTCGAGTACACCTTATTGATGCGTGTCAGCTAACAGGAAACCAAGTTCTAAAGTTTCCTGCGGACTATCTCCGACTACTTAGAATCAGAAGGTAGATATTCTATTAAGAATAAATGGCTTACTCATTTAAGTCGCTCAGTTTAGCGAATAATCAAATTCAGTGATGCCAACAAAATTAGGAATAAAAATGGAAGTTAAACGGTGAAGAAACGTCAAATGACACCATAAATTTAACATAAAAATTCAGACTTTTCAGCTAACCTCGACTGTTGGATGCTAAGTTCTCACACATTAGTTAGGTACTTTCATCAGATGGTATTTACACTATATCTTGATGAAAATGGAAAGTGAAAACAACCGGATTCCAGTTTAGATATTGATGTTTACATGTTTCAGTACAGCTAAATATTCTCAGTTCATCTGTGGACAAAAGATAGGACAGAGTAACCAAATAAACGTTTCATGGTTTTAATGATTCTCTGATGACTGTCATTCTACCTGAGCAAATAATAAAGCTTCATGTAACCAGATAAATAATACGAGTCGAAAGTACTTAAACTGATTGGCAAATTATTATATTTCCACCGATATTTACGAAGAATATTGAGAATCTTAATTACTAAACTTTTAAGTCATTGAAATAATCAGTCAAAAATATATATGTAAAAAAATATATAGAATTTTATAAGCACCGGTAAAAATATGAGAACTTTAATTACAGTGTCAGTAGTGAGAAACATTTAGAGTGATATCATTTGAGGATAAAACTTTTGATTGAAAGATAATAATTATCTACCAATAACTGATTATATACTCACCTCTATTGATTACTGATTAGTTCTCATCTAAACAATATGCCTGATATCATACGACTTGCGATAAATTATTTTGTTAATGTGAGGTAAGGGAAAAATAGTATAACCAAATGACTATGAGAAATGAGAAATTGATCTTCTTGAAAACCTTGTTGGGTTTTCATAAACAAAACTCAGATGTCTGTCAGTACTTGTATTTTAATACCAGTTTATCTTTTAAAGTAATTTTTAAAAAATCAAAATAACAGTAAACCTAATAATATAGGGAAGAGCCAGTTGGAATACAGAAAGCTATTTTCGTATTTTACATGACTTAAAAAAGTCATTCTTTTAATCACCATCTAACAAAATACAATAGAAATATCTTAGTGTAGTACTCAGTACATTTGAATTTATCATAGAAAATTCTTTTTGGTTATCAAAATATGAAATGACAATGTTAAACATGTCGCATGCTCACTTCGTTTGACGTAGATTACAATTAACACGCAAATCCAGGAGTTTTTGTTTTAATTTACTTTGTTCAGAGTAAGCTCGAAAAAATCTTTTTATCGGTGGTTTACTGATTAATAAGCGAACTAGTGAAATAGGACTTGCTGATATCACTGTCTTAGAATTACATCTCATTAGTTGTTAAGCGGATTTGTTAATAAAATTTTTGTAGGCGATGATGAATATTTAGGTAGTTATAGGGCTGTGAAAAAGATCAAGATAAAAACTTTTAGCATTAATACATTCTTATTCATTTATCTAAAATTATATGACAACATTTCTTTATTGTTTAAATTGAGAAGCTGATAATAAAAATTGAAAATCAATAAAATTCCTAAAACCATTATATACTAAAGTGTTTCTCATTACTTCTTTAACGAGATACCTTTGATCTGCATGGACTCTGCTCACAATCTGAAATGCGATTTCTGTATACATATTTAATATTTCAGACAGAAGGAATTGAAACATTTATCAATTGTACTGTTAAAACTACAAGGATAATGAGCTAAAAAGTCTTAGTAAATGATGAATGGTCAATTCGAAATATTCCGTACAACCAACTATCCTGCTGTGTCAGGTTAGAATTTGATATCTACATTATGTAAAGTAGTGTTTAGGCAGAGTGCAATCTTCGAAGATTAATTAAGTCAATCATTCTATATTGTATAATCTTTGACTGACATTTCACTCGAAATGCTTAGTTTATCTGCTTTGATACATGTATGTATTGTCACAATTCAAGTGATAAAACATGTTCGTTAAGTTTTAATTATCAATATCAAAAGAGAGCTAATTTTGATCAGTTCGTGAATTTCTTCAAACTGGGATTATTCTACTCAT